TCAGCTTTGAAGAATTCTGGCATAATAAGAACTCAAAGATAATTTCCAATCAATTGTGTAGTACATGAAGATTATTCAGTACATTGGCAGAGAAAATTATTCATTTTCATGTTTCTGTTTAAAATTCTAGACCTCTCTGATTTAATATGTAAATGAGGGCTTTATTTTTACGTAGTAATGGGATGATTTACCCTATGTGAATACTAATTTATTCTAATCGAATGTATTTTAATACTGAGGCACTTACTGAAATTGCCTTGGAATGGGCATTATTTTTATTCTTCTTATTTTAAGATGCTACAAGTTTTTATACTCCCAAAATCTGTGCTGATCTGGGTACTCTAATCAGTAATTAACAAATTGTGACAATTATAAGAATTTATTAGGTAATTTCAAGTCTTAATTACAGAAACTAAAATTGAAAATATGTTTAAATGAATTTAAATATTTTAATCAAAAGATTATTGCTGCTTTTATAATATTTTGTACTATAATTTAGTTTCTTCTTTATTGATTTTTATGACACACTGCTTATGCTAAAAGAAAGCAAAATTTATTAGGATTTGAAAAAAAGCTCAAAACTAATTTTAATAGATTAGAAGAGGTAGTAATCTATTTTATAACGTACAAAATATTAAGTTTAACACAATTGAATTAAACAAAAATATTCATGCATTGGGCTGGAGCTATAGCGCAGTGGTTAGGGTGTTTGCCTTGCATGCGGCCGTCCTGGGTTCAATTCCTCTGCCCCTCTCAGAGAGCCTGGCAAGCTACTGAGAGTATCTCACCCACACTGTAAAGCCTGGCAAGCTCCCAATATGCCAAAATCAGTAACAATAAGTCTCACAATGGTGCCTGCTCAAGCGAATCGATGAACAATGGGAGGACAGTGCTACAGTGCTACAGTACTATTCATATATCACATATTGGACAAAGTTCTAATATCAAAGATCTATAAAGCTCTCACAAAACCTAACAATAGCAAAAACAATGCTTCATAAGGAATAACAAGTGAATAAATTAAAGTAGAATAAATATACTAATTAATTCTACTTTCTGGATTAATTAATTCTGATAGGATTTACCTATCAGTTCAGAGTGCTTCACAAAATTAATCACAGAATTACAAAAGTAAAAGAAAAGGATGAGATATCGAAGAATGTTGAGATGTCATTTAGAGAGACATTGTGAAGGAAATATATCTTTAAAGTAATGTTTCATTTTTCAAAGGTCATATACTATTCAGAATATAATTAATTTTAAAATTCATAAATATTTCTATTATTTGGTACCAAGTGAAATAGATGTTCCAGCAAATAAACACTATTTCTGGGGTTGTATGTTTTCAGTGGGAAGCATCAACTACCCTACACATATTTGTAAAATATCACAATGTTTTGACAATTCAGAGGTTTCTTTCCCCCAAGTCTGTTGTTAATTCTCCCATTCTCCAAATTATACATCAGCAGTAATATTAGAAATATGGTTTTCATTATAATGAACCTAGTAGCTTATCAGTAATATATGCCAGTAGTGTATGTATGTATGCATGTATGTATGTATATACAAAATTATATTGTATATAAGATTGTACATTTTAATCACATTACTGGTGCTGTCATACATATTATTATGAAAGAATGCATATTATTATCTATTATTTTCATCATACATTTCATATGTATGTGTGATGAAATCTGTGAAAATAGCTCTACAAAAGAACAGCTAAACATGGGCCAGAAAGATAGCTTCAGGGATACGGTATTTGCATTGCATGCAATTGACCTGGTTCAGTCTCTGGGACCATATAGTCCCCTGTGTATTTTCATGAGCTAGCAAGGAGCACAGCCAAGAATTATCCTTGAGTACAGTTGGGATTGCACCCTTCTCTCCTCTGCAAAAATAACTGAACAAATATACAAAAGTCCTAGAAAAGAATATCAATGTCAGTACCTTGTGTTAAAGTGTGGTTTTAAAAAGAATGTTTATAGAGTGCTTGACTTAGTATATTTATTCATCTTTTAAGAACTGGCTATATGCCTATACTGTGATAATCAGGAGTTAATTGCTGTAAATATTTCCTGGTCCACTTCCGTTCAAAACATAAGGAAGAAATGAAGGAAAATAGCAGAATTAAGAAAGAAGACAATATCATTATATTGGAAAATTTCAAGAAAAGATTTAAAAAGTGTTCTATATCAGAGGTGTTATTGTACTGGCTCATATTATAATGGTTGGTGAGAACTGTTTGCTTTTCAACCCAACTCTGTATATAATGGTATCACACTAGTAGTTTGAAATTGATCAATTATTTTCATCAAGGAAGTAATTAAGGGCCACAGATCAGATTTTTCCCTGTTCTCTGCTTCAAAAAGTTTGTTGTCTTATGTGTATCACCACTGACTGAGTGCATATATACTTTAAAATTAATTTATACAAAATACATATTTTTAAATTATATTTTAAAATTAATATATTTTTAAAATTAGTTAAACTGGGTTGATACGCAGAATGGCAAAAATTGTGAGTTTTTAGGTATTCAATGTGTGGCAATAATTTTCCAAATTGACTTTTCATCTATATTCCAGAAATTTCCATTAGTTCGCATAAGATTAGCTGCTAGAAAGTTAAATTCCCTGACAGGATCTTGCTATACTTTATCCTTACAACACACTTGTTAGCAAATAAAGAAAAGAAAACTGCTTTACGAATTGCTTCTAACTAATGGAGATCCTGATGTTACCTTAGGACTTTGGTTAAACTAGCTTTAATGGGCTGAAGTGATAGCTCAACAGAGTGAGCATATAAAGTGAAGTTTGATCTCCAGTTTGATTTCTTTGTCTATAGGACACAGCTTGCAATGATCCTGGAGTTTAGAGCCAGAAGAAGTACATCCCGCTGTTAACACCCCCAAATACTGCTGCATATATCCTCCAAATTCAAAAGAAGAAACAATTTCAAGTTCCTACAATCAATTTCTATTGTGTTTCAATGAGTATTTGGAGAGGTGAAAGGCAGTAAGAGAGGGAAGTATTGAGCCAAAAATACTTTGACAACTTAGGAGGACAGAGGGGACAGACAACTAGACTTGGGCTCCCAGAGGAACAAGCCAGAAACTAGATCAAAGATCAGGAACATGCAGAAAGTAGTTGCTACAGAGAAACTGCTTCATGAAGAGGATGTGATTAAAGACTAAAATGTAAGACTTTGCTTACATCTGACAAAAAGAACATAGATTCCAATCTTTGAATTTTGTGCATTCTCATATGATTTTTAGCACTTTTAAAAAAGTTATTTTTTGACTGAAAAGCATGTATAAATTGAAGACATTTCTTTCACAGTAGCCTGATTGTATCCTGAAAATATATAACAGCTATTCTAATAAGATATTTTGTAGCATTAATATTAAATACTTTTTAAGCTTTCTGTTCACTGAAACAGTTTCTCTTCACCTAAGATACCAATAATTCAGGTTACCTTTTCCCAGTTTTTGATAATTTAAAAAAATATTTATATTATTGCATGCAGAAATGATTGTTTTTGTCTTTACAGTATTGACTTTTAAAATCAGAAAATGATGCAGCTCAAACTGAGATTTAAATACTTTGTATTCTGTTTACAGGGAAAGGCATATAAGTGAGAAGGCATGCTTCAATTTACAGGGAGGGGCTCATAAGTGACAAGGGACGCTTCTATCTTTCTGTTTGTTTGTTTTGCTGGCTTTGGGACCTAGGTGGCAGTGTTCAGGGCTTATTCCTCATTCTATCTGTGCTCAGGGATCACTCCTAGAGGGTTCATGGACCACAGGTGGTGCTGGGCATCAAACCTGTATTGGCCACATTCAAGACAAATGCCATACCTACCCTATCCGCCATACTATTTCTCCAGCATTTTTAAAACATATTTTATTTTAGGTACCATAGTTTAAAATAAAATAGTTTAAAGACCTCTTATTATCTAGTTCTTACTCTTGGAGAACCCAGCCGGCTACCGAGAGTATCCTGCCCCCGTGGCAGAGTCTGGCAAACTCCCTGTGATGTGTTTGATATGCCAAAACCCAGTAACAATGATGGATGTCATTCACCTGACCCTGAAAGAGCCTGGAATGTGGCACTTTATGAAATCTCAGGGCTAGGACGAAGAAGACGTTACTGGTGCCTGCTCTAGGAAATCGATGAACAACAGGATGACAGTGATACAGTCTAAAATATTGTTAATGATAGGAAAGGATGCTTCTAAAACAGTGGTACAGATTTCCATTTTTTTTGGTATAGTAATGAGCAATTTAGGATTTTCTAGGAACATCTTAATGACAAAACAGCAAAGAAATAATAGATTTGGTGGTGGGGCTGGAGCAATAGCAGAGCGGGTAGGGCGTTTGCTTTGCATGTGATCAACCCAGGTTTGAATCCTAGCATTCCATATGGTCCTCTGAGCACCTCCAGGAGTAATTCCTTAGTGCAGAGCCAGGAATAATCCCTGTGCATTGCCAGGGTGATGCAAAAAAAAAAAAAAAAGATTTTTTTTATACTCAAGACGGATTTTAAAACGGGTCTTGTTTTTCTAAAAAATATAACATTTAAATGTTCCCTGATTATTTGCATTATTTGAATTAAGAAAACAAATTAAAATGTTTTCGAAGCAAATGGGCAGGTAAAAAACATAGGAGCTGTGACACCTGTAGCTCAAATATTATTTAAATATATTTTCATTTTTTTCAAAGTGCAGTATCAGTTTTGATATAAAGAATATCAAACTTAACTACCTCCTGCTCAAGTCTTTGACAGTTTTCTTGGAGCATGGGAACTGGAATCCAAAATGAGCCTTGAATGGAAGGATACAGCAGAGCATAGAGGCAGTGGCATAAAAGTTAAACTAGGCCTATTGAGCATTGCCAAGAACTCACTGCTCTAGAGCACAGGTTAGAGACAGTCTCCATGAATAGATTCTGAGCCTGATGAAGACTTCTGCTTAAAGTTATAAAAGACATTTGCTCATACCTGAAGTGTAGATCTTTAAAGGAGAATTGAGTTTCAATTATTCCAGTTGTTTTCACCCGGGAATGTAGAACATCTTGTTCATTTGGAACATACCCAGGAGCTGTTATTCTGTCCAAATCATTAAGATAGCTAATGAAAACAAACAAACATGTATTTTAAACATTGTATTTGAAAATACTAGGATTCAGTACCTTTGAATTTCTAATATTCGTTTAAATGATTAAACTCCAAACTGGTGTATTTCATACTCTGCTCTTCAGAATTTAAGAATGTGGATTTTAGCTAGAACTGTGGATGAGCGGGGTGAGGACAGGGTTCTTCTCAAGGTAACTAGTCTGCTAAATAGTGAGATATATATATATATATATATATATATATATATATAGATTTGCTGAAGGTATGGATAGACATTTGAGTGAAACGTTCTCTTTCTAAGAATCAGAGATTTTCTTCATAGAACTTTTGCGAGTAATGTGTTATGACTACAGCTTGAAGGTTTTGCATTGTGTCTGAATGGATTATTTAGCTTTAGATTCTGAATCATTTCATTAGGAGGAGCCATGACTATATATACTTTATCAATCAAAGAAACTTTTGACTCTCTTGAATATTCAGTCTGGAACTATTAATAAAATCGTAGCCCATCCCAGAAACATCACTCTGGGGACAGAAGACTGATTTTACAAATTGCACCACTGCTACCTCTTCTCCATCATTGAATCAATGTCCTTAAGTTTTCCTCAGAGGCCTTACTTAAAAATCTGCTGTTATCAGAGAAAAAATTGTTCCTAGTTTCACCTTTGGAAAATAAATTTTTTTTGGACAAATGTTGCATAACATTGGTTTGTCCTTGTCCTCCCGTGGGGAGTTTAGGTTTATTGAGTTACTCCCACCACAGTGCTCCCAGGGCATACAATTACATCATGCATTAATAATTCTATATTGCTTTTCTCTTCTCTTTATGTCCTTTGCATGGCTTAGCAATGTCCTTTTTGCATAGACACAGGAAGACAGTTTCTATGCTTTTGTAACATGAGAGTTCATTGACTCCACATAATATTGACTCCTGGACATCCATCATATTTACCTGACTTAAGTCTCAGTTGCCCTTACTTCATAAATCCCAAAAGGAGGGTCCCAGCAAGGGACAAAGATGAACACAGGGAAAGCTGCAAGTTACCCTGATATTGAAAAGGGACAAGCTAAGTCACATAAGAAGTATAATATGGCACATGATCATAAGCAAGTAAGTATAAGCATGGTCATGTAACAAATTCTGTCATGACCCCAGAAGAAGTAACTGAATAAGGACCCTGCTGGGGTTAGGAAAGGCTTACCTCGCCTGAGGACTGTAGTCTGGAATATATAACGAGATGTCCCCAGGAAGAGTCACTCTTTAAGCTTATTATATCTTTTTTCTGTGTTCATACAAAATGACTAGAAATATTAGTATTCAATATGAATGTTTCAATGGACTACTGGCTAAGGAAAGGAGAAAGCGATATGTCTTTAGATGGAATCCCCACCCTTGAGTGGAGTTCCTAGTAATCTAGGGTGCTGAACCCCCAGATGAGATTTTGTCCTTGGTTAATCTCCTAGAAGAATTTTCCCTGAAGGAGGGGATTCACATCTTTCTGTTGTTATGATAATGTTCAAGCTCACCTATATATAACCCCATCCTTCACGATTTCTATATAACTATGCTGTAACAGAGGAGGGTAGAAAGGAGAAATAACTATACTGTAAGAGAGAAGTAGGGAGAGGGAGAAAGGAAAAATAAATGGCCCCTGATTACCAACCAGCCTGTGGTCCTGTTCCTTCATTCCTTCCTAATCCTGTCACCGTTAGCCTGCCTGGGGAGACAGTTCTCAGCCACTGAACGCACGCTACAGCCACACTTTTTGAACTCACAGACAAAAATAATTTTTATTGATTTAATAACAATTGAGAATCTTCATTCTAGACTTTTGATACTGAGCTCTAGTAGTTATCAATACGACTATTTCTATGAAAGGTTAAATGGAGATAGCCATAGTGTACTAGAGTTTTGATGACAATTTTGAACCTTATATTACAGTTTATATGTAAAAGGTATACTCATATATATGCATACATAGCTTAAAATAGTCATATTTATCAGACAGAATATGAAAAATAGAATCCAGCTGAATATCACTGTTCAAAAGCTGAGTGTTTCAGGGATTAATTTAAAGTGTTATTGTTTTAATACTTAGACAATGCCTTGTTTGGGAGGAAGAGGATAAAAACAGGGTTTTTTTTGAAAGTTCCAAGGAAAGGGGAGGAAGAGAGCACTGTGCTGAAGAGAAAAGGTGGACTTCTCCAGAGTGGAGAGATCCTCAGTAAACAACCCAACATTAAAATATAAAGGTCTGAAAGTACACATCTAATCTCCAGAGGGGAGATGCGGGCAACATATGTGCTGGGGAAGCATATATACCACCAGCACAATGCTGTAAAGAACAAAGTTTTAAAAATTATGTTGAAAAATTTGAATCAAGGTCCAAAGATATAGCGCAAGAGTTATGGTGCTTCCTTGCATGTAGCAAAATAAAGTTCAATTCCTTGGTCTATAGTGGTCCCCTGAGCACTGCTAGGAGTAAACCCTGGGCAGAAGTAAGCCGTGAGCACTGGGTTTGGCCCAATACCTCCTCACCCAAGTTTTTTCTTAAAAATGTAGGTAATTCACTCAGATAAATTTTCTAGTTTTTAAGTTAAAACAGATTCCCCCAAAGAAGTAAGACCAAGGATAACTAATTACTCTTCAGAGACATATATATGTATACAGTGAAAAGTTACTACAGACTTATTTTAAGATTTAGTTTTTTTTTTTAAAAAAGGAGATACAAACCAAGAAATAAATTTGTCAGAGAGAGTTTAAAAGATCTTCTCATTAGCTTCTCTACTTTTAATTTGGAGAAGCAAATTCCTTTGTGAATATTCCCTATTTCATCTGTCTGCATATGTGTAAGTTTACTGTTTGTTCATTCATGGAGAAAAAATACAAACCTGCAGACAGAGATTAAGTTCAATTTAATGATAGAAAAATGAAAGCTTTGGTAAATACATATTTTAATGTATTTTATTTGCATATGTAAATTATTTCAGGCAAAGCAGGAGCATTAGCAGGAGTCAAATTTGCTTTTTAAAATGCTTGTTTGAATAAACAAATATAGGACTTGGGTGCTCACGACTGCAGTTTAAAACTTGGCCTAAAGAGAGGGTCTAAATGCATATAATAAACCACATTTAAAAATAGATTCTTCTAATTGTGGAGAAATATTTTTCCTGGTAAAATTTATGTTAAATATTAAAGAATGTGGAACTTAAACGACTCACTCTGTAAGGCAAAATATATCTTTATTTATTTATTTAAATTTTGTATTTTGGGTCACACTCAGCAATGCATAGGGGTTACTCCTGGCTCATGCACTCAGGAATTACTCCTGGCAGTGCTTGGGGGACCATATGGGATTCTGGGAATTGAACCTGGGTTGGCCGCGTGCAAGGCAATGCCCTACCCTCTGTGCTATCACTCCAGCACCCAGAATATATCTTTAACCTTCTTGCCACTGCTATGTTATTTTCTATAGTGCTAATATTGATGGTTAGGGCCACAGACAGGGGGATGGCGGGACTGTTTACACTGCTAACAAACACATTCCCTTCTCTTCCTGTGCTCATCTTTCATCTCTGCTAGCATCAATTTGACCCTGTTCTGTTAGAGAAAGTAAGGAGTTTATAATTTTTACCAAAATAATGAAAGAGAAAGGCATAAGAGAAATGCATATAATAAACCACATTATTGGTATTTTTTGAAAGAGGGCAAAGAAAAACACACAAGAAGAAATAACAAACCACTGTTCAATATAATATATATATATATACACAATTACAATATATATGAATATAACATAAATATGATATTATTTTTTATTTTAAAATGTGATTACATTTTATTTTTTTATGTAGGAGTACTGCTATTTATTCAGCCACTGATTAGCTGATTGAATTGGGCATAAACTCCACCTTACCTTTTTCTTCCATTTTTTATAATTTTATTAATTGAATCACTGTGAGAGCAGTTACAAAGCTTTTGGGTCTAAGTCTCGGTCATACAATGAAACACCTGTACCTTCACCAGTGCTTATTCTCCACCCCCCAACAACCCCAGTATACCCCCATTCTACACCCCCCCCCTTCCTGTGGGGCAGATGATTTCCACCTTACTCTCTATCTACTTTGATCACATTCAATATTTTGACACCTGTCCCACCATTATTAAATGATTTTAATAATCATTTTACCCCAACACTCAGATCTGCTGAAAAGGCAACAGTAGACAATTTGTTTTCTATTGCTGGTTAGGAATAATATATGATGTCACGTGGATGCACTAGTGGCCGCGCAATTTTGAAATTCCGAAATTTTAACATTTAAATCTGGATGGGTTTCTGCCAAAACCTGCTGGGTTCCAAGATTTGCTCCTGAGTCTCTGGGATCATGATCCTTAAGCAGCTTGATCAGGAGCCAGAGAGACCATTTGTGGGCGGTGACTTGGGGTCTTGTTGGGACTGGGAGAAAAAGGCCAGCTCCACCCCCCATCCCACGAGGCCCTGTGTGTCTCGTCACTGAGCTCCCAAACATGACTGTCCGGTGGCCTCTGGAGGATGGAGGCCACCGAGTCTCCTAGGGGGAGCAAGTGGAGGGACAACGCTCTTTCCCCCCTAGGGTGACCTGGCGAAAGTAACCTACTGCAGGGTCCAGATGCATTTCTGCTGAAAGCCACTGGGTTCCGAGATTTGCTCCTGAGTCTCTGGGATCATGGCCGTTAAGCAGCTTGATCAGGTGCCAGAGAGGCCGCTCGTGGGCGATAACTTGGGGTCTCCTTGGGGTAGAAGGGAAAGGACCGGCTCCACCTCCATTCTGTGAGGCCCAACATGTCTCATCACTGTGGGCCCAAACCTGACTGTCCAATGAACTCTGGAAGATGTGATTGCATTTTAGTATTTGAAATTAATTTGTTAGTTTTTGGGAAAAAGCAATGGCCATTCAATTATTTTTCTTAGCAATTTTACTTAATTGTCCTTTATTCTCCTTTTATTTATTTTTGTTTGTTATGCTTTGTTTTGTTTGGGAGCCACTGGACTTACTCATATGATAGATCATAAGTAAGTAAGTAAGTAAAGGCCCTCCCGTTGATCGTCGATTTGCTCGAGCGGGCCCAGTAACGTCTCCATTGGAGACTTTGTTGTTACTGTGTCTGGCATAACGAATATTCTCGGTGGCTTGCCGGGCTCTCTGAGAGGGGCGGAGGAATCGAACTCGGGTCGGCCATGTTGGCCGCTTGTAAGGCAAACGCCCTACCCGCTGTGCTAATGATATGCATCCAATACTATAATTATATAATAGCTTGCTCTCTTCCTCCCCCTTGCTACCTGTAAGTCTACATAACTGTGCAGTCCTTCCCACCTCAGAAATTTTATTTTTTGGGGGGGTCACACCTGGCCATGCAAGGGGTTACTCCTGGCTCTGCACTCAGGAGTTACTCCTGGCGATGCTCAGGGGACCATATGGGATGCCAGGAATTGAACCTAGGTCAACCACGTGCAAGGCAAAGGCCCTACCCACTGTGCTATCTCTCCAGCCCCTCAGAAATTTTCTTAGCAACACTTTTTGAGACTAATTAGCAACTTGGTCTCTATTCAATTTAACATTGATTTGCTATTAATATATAAGTGCAACACTGTCTACATATAAAAATATATCTTGGTATTAAAATGACTCGACAAAATGACACTTATCAAAACAGGTATCAACTTTCCTTATTACAAAGTGATAACTAGTCTTTAGGCAGAGAGAACCAAGAGCAAGACTTCGCTTCAAGGTCAGTGGACCTTGGAATAAAAATAGAAAGGAATTATTTCATATGACTATTGTCATCATAAATGTTATCTTGTCCTAGAACTTATATTATTTTTATGAATGATCTTTATGAGTTATTTACATTATGTGGTTTTTATGAGTTATTTACATTATGGTTAAAATAAATATGGAGTATCAAGCAAGTTTCATTCTTCTGTCATCAAATCTTTCCATTTATCCTTTATTTTATATTCCGCTTTATTTTATTTTGGTTATTTATTTTGGCAGAGTGTGAGTCACAGAATTTGTGCTCTCAGGGATTGTTCCTGGTCTGTACTCAGAGATCACCCCTGGAGGACTTCGAAGGACCATATTTGGTGTCAAGAATGAAACCAGGGATGGCCCATACTAGGTATGTGCCTTATCCCAATCCTTATCCCTACTACAATCTCTCCTGACCCTATACTGATTTTAAACAAAAATACTGCTACAATGTTTTGTAGGACTTAAAAAATAACATTTATACTTTAAACACATCCTCGGAATAGACAGAAGTATAGAATAAATGCATTTGTGTGAATATGCACAGTTATTTGTAGGCAATCATGAGACAGGTTAAGAGCCAATTAATAAAAAGGAAATTTACAATCATTTTGATAATGAAATTATAGTGTCATAGTCTATTTTCTTAAAATTTATAATTGCTAACTACATGAATTTAGTATAAAATTATACAATAATGGGATGGAGTGATAGCACAGTGGAAGGGCATTTGCCTTGCTTGCAGCCAGCCCTGCCGAGCCGGGTTCGATTCCTCCACCACTCTCGGAGAGCCCGGAAAGTTACCAAGAGTATCTCACCCACACGGCAACACCTGGCAAGCTACCTGTGAAGTATTCAATATGCCAAGCGCAGTAACAAAAAGTCTCAAAAAATGGAGACATTATTGAGCCCACTCGAGCAAAATCGATGAACAATGGGAGGACAGTGTTTTGTTTTATTAGTGAAACACCATGAGGTACAGTTGTATACTTACAAATTTTTGTACTTAGGTTTCAGTTATACAATGATAGAGTACCCATCCCTCCACTAGTGCCCGTTCTCTACCACCAATGATCCCAGTATCCCTTCCATCTCCCATCCCCCCATCCCATCCCACCTCGGTGGCAGGTCATTCTTTTTTAAAATTATACAATAATTTTGACATGCAAAATGAATTTTATAAGAAACAAATGTTTTGAAAACCAATTCATTACTGTCTTCTAGAGTTCTATATCATTCTCATCAATGAATGGAAATAAAGTGAATACAAAAATCCTCAGTGTACATGTCATCAGGTTGCTGTGTTTGTACTGAATATGGTATGCAATGACATGTTTTAATTGGTAGATATTATTCATACCATATAGGTATTTTCAATGGCTTGAAAATCAAAATAGTAGTTTCAAATTTAGCTATTCAAAGTATTCTCCCTGGTTTATTTGTACATCTCCTTTATATTGTTTTGATCTTCTAAACATTTTAAATTTCCTTTTTATTTTATTACAATAAAATGCAAAGACATTTACTTTTTCATTTGTGATTGTAAAAAACACAAAATTACAGTTCTGTTCTTGTTTCTGTTCACTGCTGCTTTTTCATTTTTAAGTTTTTATAGTTTAGACTGTGGGTTTACATTAGTATTGACATTTATGGCTTTGGTGTACATTTTTAGTCCTTTTCCCGATTGTTATTTTCAGTATTAATTAGCTAGTGCCTTGGGGATACCAGGGTCATTTCTAGCAGTGCTCTTTCCAGCAGTATTAGACTGTTTTGTAGAACCAGGAATTAAACTGAAGACCATGCACATGCAAGGCATGTACCCTACTTTTCAGCCAAAATCCCCACCCCTGGAACTATAATTCTTCATTTTAAAAAGTTCAACTATAATTCCTGTTCAAATAAATTCACTTACTAAGCCGCCGAGTCATTGAGCTGATATTCTGATGCCCTTTCGAAGCAGGCCTGAATCCCAGGGTCTCTCCACAGATGCTTTATCACTTCAGCCAGTTCTGGAGTCATGCCACCATCTCCCAGGGCATTTGCCATTGCATAGAGTTGGCGCTGGTCTTCCTAAAGCAATTTTTAATGAGTAGGATAAAATATTATTGTTTGAAACCTCATGATATTTTTTACTAGAACATTTCTATTTGGTGGTTATTTTGATGGGGAGAGTCTTCCAAACAGTGCTCAAGATGCCCAGAGTGCCTCTTAGTCAGCCAACCCATGTGGAAGTTCTCTGTGGGGTCCTGAGGATGTGACACTGCTCAGGCCCTGTGGTACTGAGTATTAATTGATACTCCTCAATAGTACTAGGAAGGTACTGCAGGGCCCTACCTGGTGATGCTTGGAGTACTAGGAGTACCAGAAATTAAACTGGGTTGGCTGCATGAAAGAAATGCATCTTAATCTCTCTACAATCTCTTTGGCCTCCAAAAGATTTTTTATTATTCCTTTTGGCAATAATCGTGTTGAACACTTATTTTACCTTTATGATACTTTTTAAGGTTAATAATTAGAGTAATTAAATTATTATCACTGATAATTAGACTAAGTAACTGAATCAAATTCATCTAGAATCAAATTCTGATAAAGCTTCATATTCTTGTTCATACTCTTTTTATAAATGTTTTTTATAATAAAATAAGCTAGAATATGCAATATCTCATAAAATCCTGAGAATAATCATATGAGCACCATTTATAAGAGATCCAAACCTTACACATTAAATTACCTAACCAATAAGACAATAAGCAACAAGGGCGTCAAATTTAAGCACATTTTGTTCAAAGTTCAGAAGCTGTAGATGAAGGAAGTCTAATCAGAACCAGATGCTTATCTGATTGCTATTTCCTATTGTTTAAAATTTATAACAGCATTTGAAAATGGTGAGTCTCATTGCTGAAGATACAACATAAAGTCTAGACCTCTAATTTCTTCCCCACCATATTTTAATGTCAAACCAAAATTATCAAATGAATTTAACTAAAGTTTTAATGGCTATAATAAATGTTTAGCCCCTTTTCTTGCCTTATCATTAGTTAAACTTTAAAATATTTCTTTTTAGTTAGACAGGAATGTTAGAAATGCAAATTAAGCAAACTATTATCCAGTTGCTCTTGCTGGGGCTGGAGAGAGGGTATAAGTGGCGAGGGTGCTTGTCTTGTATATGGCTGACCCGGATCTGATCCCTGCCATCTCATATGATCCCCTGAGCACTGCCAGGAGTGATTATTGAGAGCCGAGCCAAGAGTAACATCCCAGATGTGGTCCCCAAATTAAAAAAAAATAAAACAGAAAAAAAATACCATACTTTGAACTTGAAGATAATACAGAGGACAAGGTGCTGGATTGCATGAGCCTGGACCTAGGTTCTATCCCTGGTGCGTCATATGGTCCCCTGAGTCCCTCTAGGATTGATCCTGTAAGCAGAGCCAGGCCTAAATCCTGAGGACTTCTATCTGTGACCCCTGGACAACCCCTCCCCCAATCCAAATGTCATACTCTACATTTAAGAATTTCAACAAGGCTGAGAGATCCGAAAGAATCTCTAAAACGTTTAAGGTATGGAAATCAATACCGTGCTTAACTTTACTCTGTCATTTAATAGCAGTATCATTTGCAAAGTCCATTTATTTGCTTATTTTAGATAGGTACTCCGTTTTATCCTTATTGGGTTAATCTTGATCAATTTCCATCCTAAATATCTAACATTTATGAAACTCTGAAATTATGGTCCGTCCATGAAATGGAATACACTGGGGCCAGAGAGATCATAGAGTAGGTAGGGTTGCCTTGCACACGCTCACCCTGGTTGGATCCCCTGCATCCATATGATCCCCTGAGCACCATGAGGGATGATTCCTGAGCACAGAGCCAGGAATAGCCTGAGTATTGCTGGGTGTGGTGCCACCACCACCCCCTGTCTGTAATGATAAAGTATGAATTATTTAGAAAATTGAAAAATATATTATAGGTATAATAGAAGTGTTTCACAATACATTGTTGAGTGAAAAAGACAAGGAACAGAACAGTGTTGTGGCATCTATGAGTTTCAGTCAAAGGGTTTATATTCTTATTTGCTTGCTATGTACAAGAAGTTTTTGGAAGAGCACACACTGTCTTTACTAGTGCATTTGGTAATTTCGTGTGGGAGTATAACAGACTTTTTGTTTGAATTTCTTTACACTGTGCATATATATAAACATTTGTTTAAAAAATAGTTTTAAAATGCATTTTCAAATTGTGCTTTAAGTGTGATGCTGTTTTTTCTTCATTTTATGGAGGAAAAATGGGGAAAATAATTTGCTGTTTTACTGATTTGGACATATGACTTAGTATATCATCTACAATTTCCTTATAGTGAATAAACTGTTAAATGATTTATAGAAAAATAGAAGACAAGTCACCTTAAGAACTTTTATTTGTTCTAACTTTCTGTATTAATACATATTAGTGACCGATGCCTGTGATTTTTAATCTATGTCACTTGTACATTTCTGACGAATGGCCCTGAATATAGTCAAAACATTTCCCATTTCTAATAACTTATTTCCCAAATTCCTCGTTTTTTTCCTTAAATTCCTAATTCTCATCAAAGCTGATATAATTCACTCACTTTACGATGAGAGACTCAAAATCGTCTCTGACTTCTCCTGTGATAACTTTTGTCACTGTATATTTTTTATTTTATTTTTTTAACTTTTGTTCTCGGAGAGCCCGGCAAGCTACTGAGAGTATTTTGCCCACACAGCAAAGCCTGGCAAGCTCCCCATGATGTATTCGATATGCCAAAACCGGTTAACAACAAGTCTCACAATTTGTTGTGAGACGTTACTGGTGCCCACTCGAGCAAATCGATGAATGATGGGAGGACAGTGCTACAGTGCTATTATTAAAATGTCATTTAAGAAAAATGTGGTAAAGAAATAGCACTTTGGTTTTGTCCCAAAAGAAAAAATAAGTTACATGAATTATAACAACCATAACCTTATAAATAAACTGTAGTTTTTTAAAAATTTTTTGAAAACTATCCACTTTTAATGTAAATATATTTTATTTGTATCAATATAGCAAATATAGTCTCAACATAACTGTCATAAAGTTCTCTTAACAACCAATGTAATAATGATGCCATCATTTAGTTTTTTGTTTCTCTAAAGCTTTTACATTTTATTCTCTATATAAGTAAAGCTAACTATAGTTATTATCAAACCAAATGTGTATTCTAATGTATAAGACAGTTAAAAATATATTATGATATAAGAAACCAAACTAAATTTGTCACATTTCTGGGTGTTAGGTCTTGCAAAAGTTTGTTGTGGTTTTAAAAAAAATCTCCCAGTTGAAGGACTAGAACATAATACAGCAGGAAGGGCATTTGCCTTGCACTCAGCTGACCCAGGTTCTATCCCAGAATACCATATGATTCCCCGAGTACCACCAGGAATAATTCCTGAGTACAGAGCAAAACGTAACCTCTAGCATTGCTGAGGGTAACACAAATGCCGAAAAATAAAAAATAAAATAAAATAAATCTCCCAGTTCATTCATATTTGTAACAACGGAGCTAAGAACCTGGACTGCATGCAGTACTGTTTAAAAAACAATAAAATGTCTACTGTACACATTGACACATCAATTCTTGAAGTTATCATGCAGTTACTAAAGGAATGAATTGATAATCAAAGACTATTATTTACAGGTTTGGATAAATAAATCAAATTCTAATTTTTTAAATACCTACTACTACAATTTAAAATTGCTACTTACACAAAAATAGCAAATTTTAGCAAGATTTATTAAAATTAGTTTTAAATGTAGATTACCTGAGCCAGATGACTTAAAACTGAACTCTTACTACCTATCTGCTCTCCTATCTTATATTTTTCATAAATTTCTGTCAAACTTAAAATTCAAACTCTTAGTGGAACTAACAGGGATCTGTATGCTTTGATTCATGTCTTATCTTCAAAACCTATATCCCGATCTTTCCTCTCCTCCTCTGCTACCCTTCTTCTCTCTCATTCTTCTTCCCTTACAGTTTATTAAACTTTATACTTCGGTTTTTAGAGTACTTAAATGACTGTCCTTTACATGTTTTTTCTGTGCCTCATTTTCTCTTCATTTGCATCTCTTCAAAAATAGTCTTCCAAGGATGATCTCTGATCACCTACTGTTTTCTTATCTGCCTTTATTTTTCTTAATTTACTTACTGCTATCTGTATGCAAGCCCCTCCCCCCAACACTAGATAGAGTAGAACAATATTTTTTAGCAAAATTTTGTATAAAAATTTTATCTGGAAACCTGGCTTTCATCTCACACTATACTACATTATTAAGTATCTCGTACTTGAGACAATGGTATCTTCAAGTTTTGTTATTACAGAATTTTCAGAGTCTTTAAGTATTAATATTTGAAAATTTCCAAGAAATCATTGTAATGTTTTATATGACAGACTTATTTTATTAACTATATTTTATCATAGACCAACTGGAGAAATCAGTGTTCTTTGACTTACACCTTAGAGTTGATTTTGTACGGCACTAAGTTAAAGGTAGTCCCAGTACTAAATCCTTTGTTAAAATACATTTGAGGTTTAACACCCTTTTTTCCATTCAAGCATATAGTTTTTATGTTATATAAAAATTAATAATATTTAGGAATAAATTGAAATTATTAAATACCTATGTTATATCAACCTCTTATGTTTTCAGCTTTGGAATCATATTTACGGTGTCTGAATTTATAAAACTAATCTATCAACTATTAGAGAAAAGAGTCAAAATCAACCATCTTTATACCCATTTAAATGATAGAACTCATATCTCCTCCTTAGCTATAGCCTCATGAAAAAAAGAAAGAAGGAAAAGAAAGAGAGAAAGAAAGTAGGGAGGGAGGAAGGAAAGAAGGAAGGAAGGAAGGAAGGAAGGAAGGAAGGAAGGAAAATATTTAAATTCTGTGTCCATTTCTCATTTCTCAACTTACTTCTTTGGAATATGCAGTCATTACTAGTTTAAAACCCCTTGGTTTACTTTTTTTAAATTTTTATTTATTTATTTATTTATTTTTTATTAGTGAAACACCATGAGGTACAGTTATAGACTTACAAACTTTCGTGCTTGGATTTCAGTTATACAATGATCGAGTACCCATCTCTCCACCAGTTCCCATTCTCCACCACCAATGATCCCAGTAGCCCTTCCACCCTCCACCCCATCCTCCCCACCCCGCTTTGCCTCTGTAGCAGGGCATTCCCTTTTACTCACTCTGTTCTTTAGGGTGTTGAAGTTTGCAATAGAGGTATTGAGTGGCCATCGTGTTCGAAAACCCCTTGAATTACTTAACCGAGCACAATATTACTAAATCAAATTGATATTTTAAAAATTTACTTATCATTGGCCTGCAATGGTAGGTAAATAATAGTCTTTAAAATAATTTTTTGGGGCTGGAGCCATAGCACAGTGGGTAGGGTGTTTGCTTAGCACACGGCCGACCCGGGTTTGATTCCCAGCATCCCATACAGTCCCCCGAGAACCTCTGAGAGTAATTCCTGAATGAAGAGCCAGGAGTAACCCCTGTACATTGCCGGATGTGACACAAAAAGCAATAAATAAATAAATAAATAAATAAATGGATATTTTTTTGCTTGAACCTCCAAGGCCCTTTCAACTTGAATAAATTCCATCGTGATTTCCTTTTTCTTTTTTCTTCAGTTTTTGGGCCATATCTGGTGCTATTCAGGTCTAACTACTGGCTCTGCACTTGGAATCCCTTCTGGTATTGCTTAGAAGACCGTATGAGACATCAGACACCAAACTGAGGTTGGCCAGGTGTAATCTTACCTACTGTCCCTTTTGCTGCTCAATATCAGGCTTGTCTATCATGGGGGCATAACAATTTGCATCTCATTTTCTGCTTAATTGTCATTAGAATTTACCTGACAGTGAATAATATTTTAATGAAATAATGTTTTCAAATGGTTTTGAATGTGTAGAACCTATACGTATATTTTAATGAGCTTATGTTCAAAATGATTATTGGAAGGAATAATTCCTAATATTTATTACAAGTTTACATTCATAATACTTTGTTTTTAAGTGCATTTTTAATGTTTATGCTTTTTCCACTTAGTCATTGTCATTTATTGAGGAACTTATTTTGTGGATGCAGAGAAATTTAGAATAAGTAGTTTAAGTCTCACAATGGAGACGTTACTGGGCTCACTCGAGAAAATCGATTAACAGTGACAGTGACAGTGACAGTTTGTTTAAAAATATGAAACACAGTACCATTGTGACTCATGTAAATCTTCAATCATGATCTTTTCCCTTTTTGAATTTATCTCTGTGTGATGCGTGAATGGTTATGCAAAGTTATTTAAACATGTGTAAACAAAATTAAATGCTAAATACATAACAATAGGATGCCAAAACTATTAAAGTCACACAGAAGTTAAATGTTTAGCAATGAATCTGTTAAATAAACAGTTTAAGCCAGGTAGAGTGTGTATTTATTTAAACACAAATATCAAAGAATATGATTGAAGTTTACATCAGTTAAAATCAAAATATGAACTATCTAGTACCTGACAACTATAATGTTTTGTATGTGAGGACATGGAAACTCCAGAGAAGAATACCAATTCCTTAGGAGTATTTGGATTATTCTACTGACAGTTTTATTATACAATCTAAAAATATACACAAAATAAATTTTTAGATTTAAAACAAAAACAAAAGGGGAAAAGGGAGCTCAGATAGAGAAGGGAACACCAAATAAAGGTGTTGGGAGGATCCTCCCAGGATGGGAGAGGCATGCTGAAAGTAGACTATAGACCAAACATGATTGTCATCCATTGACTCTTTTGCAAACCACAACACCCAATAAGAGAGAGAGAGAACAAAAGGGAATGCCCTGTTACAGAGGCAAGGTGGGGTGGGGAGGATGGGGGGTGGGAGGGATACTGGGATCTGTGGTGGTGGGAAATGGGAACTGGTGGAAGGATGGGTATTTGATCATTGTATAATTGAAACCCAAGCACAAAAATTTGTAAGTCTGCAACTGTACCTCATGATGTCTCACAAAAAAAATTGTGTTTTTTTTAGATCAGTACAATGGCAATAATTTATATAATCTATTGTTTTTCCCGACCAGGGCTCCGGCAGGCGAAGACCTCCAGAACCAGCCACCACCATGCTGAGATCACTCTCCGCACACATGAAGGTACTGGCAGAGGAACAAAGGCATGCGGGTCCCGGGGCTGAGATCTCCAAGCGTACTCAAATTGGGGCTGAGCATCCTCCAACCAGATCCTCTGAATTCCAGTAGGCGGGGGTCACACCCACCAACTGGCCTCCTGGCGCCGTGTAATCCCATCAACTGCCAAGACTCAGAAACTATAAAACCCAGCTCCAGGAACCGTGCGGCTGTATTTGCGGCCGTGCGGCATCTTATTATGACATCTTATTATCTCATTCCTACTTTGGACAAACTGGCAGGCTACCGAATGTAACCTGCCCACACAGCAGAGTCTGGCAAACTCCCTGTGGCGTACCCAATATGCCAAATACCAGTAATAATGTTGGTTCTCATTCTCCTAAAGAGCCTTGAATATAGCACTTTCTTAAAAATCTCAGGGCTAGAATGAAGGAGACGTTACTGGGGCCTGCTCGAGGCAATCGACGAATAACAGGATGGTCATGATTCGTGATTCGTGATTATTTTTCCCTATCTGACTGAAAGTTTAAGAGTCTCTTACCCAACCAATTCAGCCTTTCTCTGATTGCTGATACCACTTGTTTACAAACTGGGGCTGTCAGAAACATAATATATGTAAATAAGTAGCACTAGGCAAGACTTAGATTTTCAGCTTGTTAGATATGTTAGAAGAAACACCTATTTCAGAAGCCCCTGTTGCTTAGGAGGAAAAAAATTTGAATATTCCTAATCATTAAAAGCAATTTAAAGCATTCAATAAAAATCCCCCTATAAGGGAAACTAGAGATTATTTTTCTTTTTTAAAGTTTAACCATTTAATGAGTGTCATATTGCTACTCTTTGGCTCTTAATAATCATGTCTTTAAACAGCAGAGATATATGAGTTTGTTTCTTGGGGACAGTTTAAAATCCTAGGTTCTTTGAAAAAGTCAGTGTCAAAGAGGTAAATGAACTCTTAAGTAAGAACAACACCACCAAGTCAAGGAAGGATAGGAAATTAAAGGATATTGAACCTCAATTTCTGTATTAGGAGTTCTTCTCCAATATATAAGAGAGGGAAGTGTAATCTGTAAACATTAGGCAGTACTGGGTGACTTATTCAAGTCAAGTTCTGAAAAAAAAAATACAAGACTAGCAGATGTTCTGATAGAAAAATCCCAGGCACTTACTTCAGTGGCAGAAGTGTGCAGTAACTTTGTACATCAATAGCCGAATCTTAAAAACTATTGTAACCCTATTACCTAAACTAGGATTTTTATAAAAAAAATGTTATTTAAATTAAAAACAGAAATACTCTGTACATCCTTAGAATAGATAGGTTAAAAAAAAAGAATACCTATCTGTTCTAAGGACGTAGGGAGTACTTTTATGTTCATTTTCAGAAAGTCAAAAAACAAAACAAAACAGGATTTCCTTTATAAAATTGACAGGCAGCAAGAAAAGAGGACATTTCTTTTCCTCTTAAGGGACTCCGACAGTCTAACCCTAAAACTACCGCCAGGTGGTGGGGAGAGAAGTACTCATCTGAGTCTCTGTACTTACTGTACTGTTCCCCTTTATTTTTATTATTAGAATAACGAGTTCTCAAGGGTCATTTGGGAAACAGTTCACATCCTCTGGAGGCAACCAGCCATTCTTGAAGGGGTCATAGAGAAATAGGTGAGCTCTTGTGAATTGTTCATGCTGATTTCTTTAGGGGGGGTGTGGTCAACTATTGTTCTTCGAATAATACTGTTTTACTTGCCAACTAAAGTACTGTGATATGTTTGTACATTGCTGTTTTTATGGTAAGTACATTTAAATGTACTTAAACAAAATATTATAAAACACATAAAAAATGAAACTCAATTTTACTACATATGAAACTATCACTATTTGAGTACATATATATTATGAATACTCTTATGCACTTTACTTTAAAAATAATGATATTAATAAATAAGTCTTTTTCCTATTGTTATATAGTCTTTGTCTTATCACTGAACTTTATTGAAATGTGATTGAATATGATGGTAATTATAAATTGACTCATAATTTAAAGAAATAATAAATCCAGATATAGCAAAGGTTGCTTTTTGAAACAAATGCTTTTGTATTTATAAAACTTTGCATAATATAGTATATTACGGGGCAGTAGTTAGGAACTAGCAGAAGATTTAATATGGTCATACTACAAAGTCTACCAGAAAAATTTTTATTTGAAGAATATAGAAACCTTTAAATAGAATTTGTTTCCTAAATTCACATTTTACGTGCTTAAATTTTTTGTATTAATTAGTACTACAAATTTATGAAGTTCTACTATTTAATGGTTCATTATTTATATACTTACTGAACTTCTGGGATTTACATAATCAATCCCAAGTGTATTCATGGCTTTCACAATAGCTAGGATGGATTGCAATGTATTGCTATAAACTACTGCTTTGAACTCCAGGCATTCCTGCTCACTGTAACCATTCTTGTGGATGATTCTATAATATAAACAGTAAAAACAAATGTTTTAGCTGAACAATTGATTGTAATATCAAAACACATTAAGAATAATTTGATTTAATAAATGTTTGTATTAACATATTCATATTTGTTTAAACACATATTCATTAAATAAGAATTTTACTTATATGGGTAAACTAAATGTGAGCAATTGTGATACTTCAGATTTTGTTAACCCTGTTATTTGATACACCATCCTGAGTAACTCATGCCTAAGGTGAAAATGACTTTGAATTTCACTCCATGGACACTGAGTAAAAGGTATAAAGCAAAGTCATTGTATTTACATAATTTCTATCTTTTTAGGAGAAAGTGTTCTACATTCCCAGGGAAAGTATATATATATATATATATATATATAGAGAGAGAGAGAGAGAGAGAGAGAGAGAGAGAGTTATAAAATTTTGTGTAGTGTTTACAACATGTTATCTAGAGGAAGTGAAGTAATTTAGTAGAACAGTCATTTCTTTTCCTATCACTTAAGACACACTAGGAAATAGGAGTGCCTGTTCTCTATTTATAGCACTAACAAAGGCATCTTTTTTTAAAATGTAGATAATTACAAACTATTAAATGCTTTGTCACTTTTCCATCTGTGTACATGCTACTGAATTCTCAAAGCTGAAATACCTACACATTTTGTTTGGCTGAACTTTTCTTTCCATTCAATCTAAAGTCAAGTAAACAATTTACTAACAATTTCTGGGAGAATACAGTAAAGTTGGCTATTAGATCTAAAGTATGTATATATGCTAGTTCTTGTTCCTTTCTGTTTGTAGTGTTTTAAAATCTTCTGTCTTTATTAGGTAAATTTCAGGTATCATATTACTAAGGATTTTCATTCTCTGGGCTGGAGTGATAGCACAGCAGGTACGGCATTTGCCTTGCATATGGCCCACCCAGCTGACCCGTGTTCAATTCTCTCTCCCCTCTCGGAGAGCCCGGCAAGCTACTGAGTATCTCGCCCGCGCGGCAAAGCCTGGCAAGCTACCCGTGACGTATTCGATATGCCAAACACAGTAACAATAAGTCTCACAATGGAGACGTTACTGGGCCCGCTTGAGCAAATCGATGAACGATGGGAGGACAGTGCTACAGGCAGTGCTACTATTTCATTCTATCAAGGCATATTAACTTTGGTATGGGAAATAAAATAACAAGTGCTTTCCAAGATTTTGAAACTAAGGATTATACAATCAAAGAGTAAATAAAATCTATACTTACAAATTTTTTTGTTTTGAACTCTCCCAAGAAGTGCTCAGCAGTCAGGGAGGCCACTTCTGGTGATACTGTCAACTGGGTCAGAAACTCATACTAAAAACACAACATATAGTGCTACCCAGGCCAAGTGGTGCTGGGGATCATCAGAGTCACTCAGTGATACTCAGAATATTATGGTGCAGGGAATCAAATCCAGTCCAACTGCATGCTAACATATGCCTTAACTGCTGGCCAATAGCTATGATTTTTTTATATATTCTTTCTAATAATTAATTTATGATTTAGACATTACTATATTTGCCTTGTCTTATTAAACAAATAAGTAAATAAAGACTTTAATAAAAAGTTCATCAATTATCTTTATAGAACCATCAAAAAATGTTCATGAAAGAAATCTCATTTGTCAATAGCTGAAATTGGAAAATTATTTTAATTATTGCATAAAAGTAGACAGTTACAAATAAACATTGGGGGATTTAGGCTTGCTTTTTAGAATAAGTTGTGTCCCGATCCTTCATAAGAGGATGATGGAACTTTTACTGAAAGCAAAACAATACAATCAAAGATTACCCCCTATTTATTCATTGTATGAGACAGTTGGTCAGCAAACACAATTTAATTTTAGATCTAGTGATCTAGGTCACCTATTTACACTGCCTTCTATAACATGCTCATCCATGACATTTAAAATGTTCAGTGTTTGAGGAAGCAGTTTAACGGGAGAATTTATGGTACATATGGAAAATAAGTTAGACAAGTATTGGATTGATTTTGAAGTGTTTTATGTACCATGGCAAGATTTGATAGTATAAATAAAAGTTTCAATTCAGGAAAGACTATACAGTGATTTTAAAAGAGATCAGTTGATGGCAGTATGGATAATGAAGTGGAAAGAATAGGAGAGTGATTGAAACTTTTAAGTAAGACACTATTAAACCACACTAGAAATGCTGGTTTGATCTAAGGCAAAGGCAACAGGGATAAATGACGTGCTTGGAGACAACTTGTGTAGATGTGGCATAACTTGATGAGAAGGTGAAAGGTCACTGTAGCTGCTATTGCTGTAATCATTTGGCGGGAATAAAGCCAGATGGGAAGAGAAGTTTGATGTCGTTCATTCTGATTTGTCCCATAGATTGAACTAAAATTAAAACTGGGCCAAAAAATTCTATAAAACAGCAATAATTTTTAAGGGTATTTCTGTGATATCCACAGGCAAATGTGATGGAAATGGCTGAAAGTAAATGGAAAGAGGAAAAGTAAAGTTAACCTTGAGGCAGGATAAGGTTACATTTTTTTTTAGTTGTAAAAACTAACAAATTATTTTCTTAGAAAAATTTCAATGAAGATGCAGTTTATCTTTTGAACCTACCATTGAGAGCAACTTTCTTTAAAGGATTAGTATAAGATTACCCATACTACAAAATGTATCTATTTTGTCCTAGTTGAAATAAATATGCTTATGATTTTTAACTTGGTTTTACTGTTAACATAAATATTTTTCTCTACTTAAACCTTCCTGTATACACATAACATAGTGTATGGGAAGTATTACATGCAAAGTTCAAATAGTTCCATACTTTCATAATTTATTTTCTTGTATTATGTTAATATTTTACTTTATCACATTTTTATTACTTTAAGACTATTATAAAGCTCTTTACACATACATAGTTATAATACATAATTTTCATACTTTAAAAAAATTATTGTATTTAATGGGCTGGAGTGATAGCACAGCAGTAGAGCATTTGCCTTGCGCACAGTCAGCCTGGTCGACTGGGGTTCAATTCCTCCGCCCCTCTTGGAGAGCCCAGCAAGCTACCGAGTATATCTAGCCCTCATGGGAAAGCCTGCCAAGCTACCTGTGACGTATTCAATATGCCAAACACAGTAACAACAAGTCTCACAATGGAGATGTTACTGGGCCCACTCGAGCAAATCGATGAACAACAGGAGGACAGTGTCATGTGTCCTATTGTATTTAATAAGGACTCTGGAATACAATAGTAGTATATCTTGAAATCAGTAGGTAGTATTTTCATTATTAGTGTGCATGGTATTAAAACATCTATGAATTTTCCATACCAATTTTTTAATTAAGACTGACACATAACTCTTAAAGCCTCACTTTAACTGAGTAATATAATTTGAAAATTAGTTAATAAAAGTATATCTTATTGGGGTCCAAGAGATAGTACAATAGATAGGGAATTATCCTTGCATATGGCAGACTCATGTTCAATCTCCACAGACTATATGGTCCCTTAAGCATGTCAAGAATGATCCCTCCGTGCAGAGCCGGGCGTACTGTTGAGTTTGGCCCCAAACAACAAGGGTCAAGGTCACGGTCCTCCTGTTGTTCATCGATTTGCTTGAGCAGGCTCAGTAACGTCTCCATCATGAGACTTGTTACTGTGTTTGGCATATTGATATGTCACAGGTAGCTTGCCAGGCTTTGCCATGCAGGCGAGATACTCTTGGTAGCTTGCTGGACTCTCCGAGAGGGGCGGAGGAATTGAACCCGGCTGGGCCGGGCCAGCTGCGTGCAAACAACAACAACAAACAAACAAAAAACATTAAAGGTTACACAAAGATATTTACATACAATGGTTTGAACTTTGTCTTTTGTGAACTTTTCATAGTTGATTCCTGTACTTATATTTGGAAAGCCTATTGTTTTAATAATCTTTGGGTTTGTGTGTCAGGTGCTAATCATAGATATACTAGATTTTCTAGCTTATCTTTACTTACAGTCATATATACAAATGTGTGTGTGTGTATGTGTGTGTGTGTGTGTGTGTGTGTGTGTTGGTTGATATAGACCTTTCATGATCTTATTATATAGAAAGAAAGGAAGTTTTGTTGTAACAATTCTTTATTAACTAGAATCATTCTCTTAAAAGATATGTACCAATGAATAAAATTCTTTACCATGTGTATGCATGTGTGTGTTTTGTGTTGTAGGAGCCATACTTGGAAGTGCTGGGAACCTCTATTGAGTAAATAACACACTGGCAGTATTTAGGTCAGTGATGCTTGGGGACTACCAAGGCCATGCCTGGCAATACTCAGGAGTCCATGCCTTTCCAGGTATGGTGCTCGGAGCCCGCACATGCTGGGCAAGTGTTCTACTGCTTGAAATATATCTCTAGCCCTATAGCTTAGTGAAGGTTTTTCTGGTTTTTTTTTTTTCAATTTTAACTGTATGCCACCGGATAGTTGGTCATTTCTTTTTGTTTTCTTATTATTTGCTGCATTTAATTTCATATAATTAAAAGGGATATAAGGATTCCATCCTATTTGCAACTTGAAAGAAAAGAATAATCAGCACAGTTGTGTAATATAAAGGAATGAAATGTAACTCAGGTACAGGGGTGGATCTGAGAACCCATCAACCATATATTCAGTGATCAGGATAAATGAGTCTTGTTCTTCAGAGACAGTATAAGTAAAAATTTTGTTGCAGATATAAGTGACAGGTAATTTAAAAAATGCAGCTTAAGTATTGGTTTATGTAAAATTTACGTGATATTATAACCTAGAGAGAAGAAAATACTCGTTCAGATTGTAAACAATTCTATCATTGACTTGAATCATATTCTCATATGATATGTCATAAAGACAATATCCTATACCATGTAAATAAAAATAAGATAAAATTATTTTCTATCATTATAATAATTGTCCTTTAAAATTTTATGGACAGAAGAGTGAGGTTTTTACCTATTTATTTCCATTTATTAATGATCATTTTATTCATTAAATCATGCATTACTGAACAATACCATATTTTTGCTCAGTATTTCCTTTATTTCAAATGCAGGTTCACTTAATGTTCCAACACTTATTCCTACTTGTTGAAAAAGAAGAAAAAAATTAGGTTTACTTACTTAGCTTTCTAAATAAAAATAATTAAAAAAATAATTGTGAAAATAAATTAAATCTACATTGTATTCGTGGTTGGAAGATAATAACTAGGTAAAAATATGGTTTTCTCTATTTTGACATATTTTAAGTGTCTTGGTTTATTAAGACTATAAAAATAAAGTAAAGTAAAGGCCCTCCTGTTGATCATCGATTTGCTCGAGCGGGCCCAGTAACGTCTCCATTGGAGACTTTGTTGTTACTGTGTCTGGCATATCGAATCGAATACTCTCGGTAGCTTGCTGGGCTCTCCGAGAGGGACGGAGGAATCGAACTCGGGTCGGCCATGTTGGCTGCGTGCAAGGCAGACGCCCTACCCGCTTGTGCTATCACTCCAGCCCATTAAGTTTAATATTATTAAAAGCTTGTGTCATTACCAGAATAACATTTAAATCATAACTTTCCTTGTGCTCATCTTATTGAGAAACAACTTTTAAAAGAAAAATGAGATTTTAATACTACTCTATTATGCTTTCTGTTAAAAATAAAATGGAATGTTCACACGAAGTATAACAATGTTGCCATTAATATTTCAAAAATTTCAATCATATTCCAAATTTACTTATTTTTAAAATAGTCAAATATATAGACAGACATCAAATAAATATTAAATATTTAAAATAAGGAATACATACTTCATTTGCTTGACAATGGTACTTTTCCCAGATTCTCCAGCTCCTGCAAGAGAAACATGAGAGTGTTATTAATTGGTATGCCAAAAATTCTTACAGATATTAAGTTGATAATTACCATTTTTAATAAGTAAGTAACTGATAATAAATTCCATAAGTAAGGAAGGAGAAAAATCTGCCATGTTTTTAAAAAGTAGCAGTTGTCTACTCCCCAGAATAGCAGAAGCAAATTAAATGCTTCCATGTTGAGGTCAGATTCAGATGGGTCTGGCTCAAGTTCGAGCATATCTGCCAGGTCAAGATAATATAATAATAGGGGAAAACATCAACTATTGTAATTGAAAATCCAAGGAAAGTAGCCTTAACTTTAAAATCTCTAGATCATCTTCCTGTGCTGCCCCAGAATGTCTCCTCATACATTGAATTTGATTAAAAAATCAAGCAAAAGTAAATTATTGCTTTAGAATATAGCTCAAGTCGTGAGCATATTTGAGTTCTTTCTGACAAGAAGAGTATTTTGAAGTGAATACTAAAACATACTGAAATAAAATATTATGATCAGCTCTGAATAAAATTGTTGTGTGTGTGAGAGAGAAATAAAGAGAGAGAGGGACAAGGAGAGAGAGAGAGAGAGAGAGAGAGAGAGAAGAGGCAAAAAAGGGGAAAGGAAGAGAGACAGTGAAGGGTGTAAGAGAGGAATTTTTATTCTTTTAACATTTAAATTTTGTTCTGTAAATTGACAACACATATCTCAAAAGTTTATTAGATGATTATAATTGTATAAGTAGCATGAAATTATTGGCAAATTACTATATAGAATAAAGCATAAACTAATATTATCTAAGAATCCAGGCATGAGGAAACTTCAATGTTTTCTAAAGAAAACAATCTAAATATTTGTTACATTTTAAACATATAGTGCTGAAACAGCTTGATATCAATTTGCATAAAGAATATTCACTCATAAAAATAAGTCAAAAAGTAAATTAATTGAAGAAGCTCATAAATATATAAGCATACGTATATACAAACATAAACTAAAATAGCTTAAGAGGAATACAAATAGGCTTTTCTGATTTGCATTAGCTTAATAATAAAAGATGACAAAAAGGTTTTCATATTCTTGTAAGGTCAGCTGTTATTTTGTGCTATTATTAAGAATGATATGCTTTTTGGTTACCTCAAATATCTAAATTTTATTCAAATTAGATTGTAACATATGAATCAGAGAATCTTTGCTCTCCTGTTTAATTTTTAACCACGGTCACCTTCATTACTTTTATCTCACTATTGCACTTTTCCCTTAACACTGAACTTATTCTACAACTTCCAAATTATTTTTATATTATTTTAATTTTTTCTCTGTTTTCTATCACTGCAAGATAAATTCTAACTGGGAAGAGAATTTTTTTCCTTTTGGTTATTTTTTCACTCTGAAGCCTGTAGACAAGTTTCAAATTCATGATAGAATCTCAGTGAAATAAGGAAAATTAAAAACTTATACTTTAAATACATATATTATTTATTTATATTTATTTTTCCACATGCCATATTTCTGCCTGACTTGAAATATTTGATAATATAGACACATCTAAGTTTAATTCTACTCTGTAGAATTGTGTTCTGTCTTGTTTGTCAGTTTACCTGTTTTGTGTTGTTATTTGAAACAATTGCCCACCTTACATGATAAAAATAAACCATAGTGGTGAAATTATAGGAATACCATACTTTAAACATAAATCTTGCTCTTCCAAACCTCTAGCACTTTTCTTTTTTATGGTTTTATACTACCAGAGTTCACACACCACGTGGTGTGAAATTTGATAACATAGTGTGCAAAAGCAAAACTAACTCAGCAATTTGCTAATTTTCTTCATAGAATTTCATTTATCTCATTAAAACACAAACTGATTGTTACATTGAATAGAATCTTCTTATGTAATAGCTATTGCTGCTATGTATAAGATTGAATCATTTGAAAATAAAATAAAAATCACATTAGATATAGCCTCATCTGATTTTCAGAAGACAACGATTTGTGGCTAGGCATTACCTGTTCATGAAAGTGCAAAAGTAAACCAATGAGCCTTAAATAATGGTTTGCTGGCTTTGAACAAATTTGCTGTTTGGCTTGAGTTTTTTTTTCCTCTTATATTTATTTATTGAATCACTGTGGGAAAAGTTACAAAGCCTTCAGGTTTAAGTCTCTGTCATACAATGATCAAACACCTTTCCCTTCACCAGTACTCATTTTTCAACACCAAGAACCCCAATATTCTTCCCTCTCACTCCTCCCCAATGCCTGTTAGGCAGATGATTTCTACATAACTCTCTATCTACTTTGATTACATTCATTATTTCGACAAAAGATGCACCATTATTGTTTAGAATTTCCCCCCAACAATCAGAATTGCTGAAAAGGCATTGTGAAATAATTTGTTTTCTATAGCTGGTTATGAGAACCAAATGATTTTGGATTTCTGATATTTTACTAGGTAAGTCTGGAGGGATTTCTGCAAAGAGCCAGATAATTATGAGATTGGTTTCTGTGCATTTGGAGCCATGGCCGTTCTGGAGAGCCACTCGTGGGGGGCAACTCCTGACCTCGGTAAGGTGTGAGAGACGAGCCGGTACCAACCTCCTTCCCATGAGACTATAGTTGCTCCGTCACCACCAGCTCATACCTGGCTTTCCAATAAGCTCTGAGGCGGTGGCCACCTTGCTGCTGGTGGTGGGGGTGGGGGGAGGCTAAAGGGAGCAACACCCTTCCCCCTACCCCCACCCCCGGGGAGGCATGGCACTGTAGTTTAACATATGGTTCATTCACTTCTCTGCTGCAAGCTGCCGGGCTCTGGATTAAGTCCTTTTGCCTCTGGAGCCATGGCTGTACCGGAGAGCCACTCGTGTGGCTTGAGTTTTTTGTTTATAACTTGCAGCTACTATTGTTTTTTTGTTTGTTTTTTTCCCCCTCTATGGCCGAGTGGACGACACCAGTCAGTGCTCAAGGCTTTTCCTGATTTTGTTCTCAGGAATTGCCCTTGGTATGGCTAAGGGCACCATACGCAGTGGCTGGGATCAAATCTGACTTGTTTGAATGCAAGGCAAGCAACTTATCTGCTGTTTCTCTCACCTACTTTTGTTTTGGGGTGATAAATTTGCGCATAAGAATTATAGTATTATGCTACAAGATTGACATACTAGGAAAATGTTAATATAGCAAATTTCCAACCTGTTTCTTTTTTCATTTGTTTGTTTGTGGACCACACCTCAGGGTGTGCTCAGAGGTTACTCCTTGCTTTGCACTCAGGAATCACTACTTAACAGGCTTGAGGGATCATAACTGGTTCCAGGGATCAAATGCAGGTTGTACACGTGCAAGTTAAGTGACCTATCTGTTGTACTATTTGGGCCCAAACACTATTTCTAGTGAGAGTTATGCTATTCTAAGTGATTCAAGGTAATTGGTCATCCATGGTCTGCTTCAGAAGTCACTGTCACTGTTCTTCCGTTGTTCATGGATTTTCTCAAGCAGGCCCAGTAACATCTCCATTGTGAGACTTTGTTGTTACTGTGTTTGGCATATCGAATACGTCACGGGTAGCTTGCCAGGCTTTGCTGTGTGAGCGAGATACTCTCCGTAGCTTGCCGGGCTCTCCAAGAGAGGCGGAGAAATTGAACTAGGGTAGGCCATGTTGGCTGTGTGCAAGGCGAATGCCCTACCCGCTGTGCTATTGCTCCAGCCCTGCCTCAGAAGTAGAATAACAAATTAAATTTAATTTTTATATTTTAATTTTATTTATTTAGCTGTATCTTATTTAACCATTTTATAATAATATGAGGGTCATTATTTTATAGTTGCTACACCAATTCTCCACCAGCAATTCCATACCTTTCCACCATTATCTGATGCCACCTTTCTTCCACTTCCCAAACATCCCTCAGTTCCAGTAAACATTTTTAAAAATAACATGCATACTTTATGAAATTATATATGAAACATTATATTTTCCTTTAAAAGATTTGGAAATCACTTTAAAATCCTTTAAAATCACTCCTTTCTTTATGTGGTGTATTTAGTCTTTCTAATATGTAGATCCAGTATAGCCAACTATAGGATTAACAGGAAAACTCATACAGGAAATTTATGTCATTTATTACTTGGAACTCCCCTAGAAAGCTATTTTAGTAATAACTTTGTGATTCCCATTCCCACAATGTTTCTGGGTCTTAGTTCAGACTAATCATCCCATTCTTATTATATTAGATAATGTTACAGAGCCAAATATAGACACCAAAACACCATGTTCACATAGACCAAGGTTATCCTAAAATAATCTCTTCTTTCCATATTATAGTCATCATTAAAATTATTATCTAATTCAGAGATTAGAATAAGATACAATTAAATAAATAAAATAAAAATGTAATAAAAATAAATGTTATTAGAATTAAAAATTGAAGAATTCATTTCTTTTGATAAGGTCTCTAATAGTTATTTAGTGCATGAATAATTGATGTTTTAATAGTAAATTCATTATTAATAATAGAGATTTTTATTTTTAAGTCTACAACTGTACCTCATGGTGTTACACTAATAAAAGTTAAAAAAATAAAGATTTTTATTTCACATTTTTATCTGACTCCCCACCCCAAATTTAAGCAATATGCTATCTATACTTAGAATTGAACAGTGTCATGTATAAGTAAAGTAAGTAAAGGCCCTCCCATTGATCATCGATTTGCTCGAGCAGGCCCAGTAACGTCTCTATTGGAGACTTTGTTGTTACTGTGTTTGGCATGTCGAATACGTCATGGGGAGCTAGCCAGGTTCTGCCGTGCGGGCGAGATACTCTTGGTAGCTTGCCGGGCTCTCCGAGAGGGACGGAGGAATCGAACTCGGGTCGGCCATGTTGGCTGCATGCAAGGCAAACGCCCTACTGCTGTGCTATCGCTCCAGCGATATCTTGTGATAATAGCAAAATGATAATATGCACTTGAACATCTTATCTTGCATAAAGATTTTTTAGATGATCTAAAAATCATAAA